ACTTAGTAAGTTCCGAGCCTTGTGCATTTGTGGGACCCCCTCACAAGTGCACGGCGTCTGCCACGTCCCCGGATTTGGGTTCTGGGGCGTGACAGCTCTAGTTGAACAAGCAAAACTCGTAGTACTGAATAAATATTGAACTTCACCATGGTGCTAAAAAATACTAACTACTCCCTTTTTTTCCTCTCTTGAGAAACCTTAGCACAAAAAGTAACAAGCAAGGATAGTTCAATTTATAGGTTGAGGACAAACATTTAAAATGGATTTAGAAATTTTTAACATAATAACATTAATCTCAATGAATTAATTACTCCTTTTATAAAAACAAATTTTAATTAATTATTACAGTGAAATAAAAATCATCTTCTCCCTTTCATTTACTTTCATTTTGGATTTTAAATAATAAATTAAATTTCATTTTAAAAGTGGAACTCGTATTCCAATCTCAGAATGCCACGGGTATTAAATTGTTTTATAATTTTAGTATCATATTTGAACTTTCATTTATTTTTTAAATCATACCTTAAATATATTTTTTACAACCCCAAAACTAACATTATTCTAACCAATTGAATCATTAATACTCTTTTCATTGTGTATCAATTTTTTACATAAATAGTTTCCTTAATTAAACATTAAAATAATAATAAAATACTTTTAAAAATTTCAATTTAAGAAGAATCGTATTATTAGAGCACTAGAGAATCATTAATGCAACTGTCTAGATCATCGCTACTATTAAGTTCTAAACATATAACACCTGAATGTCCTCAAGATTAGTTTGGAGTATATCAGTTGGTGCAGCTTTTTGTGAAAAGGCAATGATCAAATGCTGGAACAAGAGTAACATTATTTGTTTTAAAAAAATAAAACTGTCAAATCCTTTGAAACTTAAAAAAATAATGTATTGATTGTTTTTCTTTCTTAACCATTATTTAACAATATAAATAATTGTATACAACATTTCTAGATATATTTATTGTTTAATAATTATTAAACAATTTACTTTTTGATCAACATGATTTTGTTTAATTCTGATTAAATTTAATAACACAAATTTATAAATTTTATTTGTTTATTTTACTATTTCAAATATTTTATTAGATGAAATTTAAACTTTAATCTCAAACACTTTTTTTCTTATTTGCCCTTCTAAGAGCCATTAGCAATTTCTCTCCCTTTTATGTGCCCCTAGTTATCCTACAAAACTTTTCTTTTTCTTCAAATTCCTTGCCCCAAGAAATAAACATATAACCATAATTTTTTATTAATTTTCTTTAACTCAAACTAACATGCTAAGAATGCAAGCCAATAGTTTGGAAACAATTTCACAGCTAAAGCCCATTGATCCATTGAATTTTTTTATTTTAGATTTTGAATTGTACAATGGGATTTAAACCTCCCCTATACTTCCACCCACCACGCTTGCCTGTTGTACGACTACAACCCTAGACCTTTTATTTCCAAAAGAAGAATGTTACCACTTGTTCACTCATGTCACTAACGATTAAATCTCCATCATATAAACTATAAATGGCAATCAAACCCTTAAATCATTAAACAAAAAGGAGAAAGAAATCAAAAGTCTCACAACAAGGTTGTAACAAAAGGCAACAATTCCAAGTTTTAGATGAAAATATTAAAACAACATAATAGCCTCGACAAAAGAAGGACACAAACCCAAAAAAATGGAGAACATTCTTAGCTATTTCAACACTTCCTTGTAGCAATCAATCCATGTGTTTGCAACTCATAGGAGACATCTAAGATATGATTATTTGTATCATAATATTTGTAACAATAGTGTAATAAATAAGAATTCGATAAATTAAGAAACAATTGACAATTACCTATTAATTATTTTTGGTAATGTCTTTAGTGTCATAGCTTCAAAAGTTACCCTTTTAATGTTGTTGACCCCTACTTGCTTGCTCTTTGCCAAAATCACGAATGCACTCTTGTTTTTGAATTTAGGATTTTGAAGAGCCTTTACAATTGGATGCCTCATTTACATATAAAGTCCATGTATCCGCTTTAATGGTGGATGTCAACTAGTTAAAGATGCATTCCACCACAAAATCTACCAATGCTTGGGCTCGAATTGCATTTTGTTATTGAAAAGTTATCTCAAATTCCCTTAATTTGGCTACCCACTTGATCAATCTACCTAAACACTTTGGCTTTTGAAGTATTTGCCTGAGAGATTGATTTGTAAGCACAGTTATTGGGTGAGATTAGAAGTATATTCTTAACTTTTGAGCTGAGATGACAATTGCTAGAGTTGCCTTCTCAGCTAATGGATATTGTTGTTTAGCCCTTTGTAACACCTTGCTAATGTAATATATGGGCTTTTTCTACTTACCTTCCTTTCTTACTAATACCGAATTGATTACTTCACCTAAGATCTTGAGGTTTAAATATAGAATTTTGCCATCAAGTGCTTTGGTCAACCAAGGTGGTGAGCTAAGATAGGGTTTAAGCTCATTAAATGCATTTTGACATTTTGAGCTCTATTTGAATTTTTTTAACTTACCTATCTCATCCTTTTATATTGCTGACCTCATGACCTTGAAGAAAGGGAAGCATTTCTTAGCTGACTTAGAGATGAATCTGTGAAAAGCTATTACTTAAGCAATCAAGCACTAAACATCTTAACATCTTTGCTAGATTTTAGAGGTTCCATCTCCTTAGTTGCCTTAATTTTCTCAAGATTAACCTCCATCTTTCACCTAGAGACTATAAATCCTAAGAACTTGCCAAACTTAACACCAAAGGTGTATTTAGCAAGGTTTAACTTCATTATGTTCTTCCTCAAATTATCAAATGTCTCCTACAAATTGACCAAATGGTCTTTTATTTTCAGACTTTTCACTACAATGTCATCCACATAAACCACCAAGCTCCTACTTATTTGAGCTAGGAATACTATAGTTACCATCTTCTGATATGTTGCACGAGCATTCTAAAGACCAAAGGGCATTAATACATATCAACAAATTTCATCTTTAACATAAAGGGAGGTCTTCTCTTCATTCTCAAGGGCTATAAGAACTTGATAACAGCTTGAGTATGCATCTAGAAGAGTTAGCCTCTAATTCCCTAAAGCAACTTCAACCAACTTTTCTACACTCGGCATTAGGTAGCAATCTTTTGGGCAAGTCTTGTTGAGGTCAATATAGTCAACACACATCCTTCATTTATCATTTGACTTTTTTACTAGAATTGGATTAGCAATCCATTCACAATAGACATTCTTCTTATGAAGCCATCTCGTAAAAGCTTTTCCAGTTCATCCTAAATAACTTGAAGTTTTTCACCTCCAAAAAGGTGTTTCTTCTGTGCCACTAGTTTCTTCAAGGGTTGTTGCTCAATTTATACATAGCTACCAAAGTGGGGATCCCTGGTATATGAGCTAAGGTCCATGCGAAAACATCTTTATTAGCTCGAAGAAAATTGATTAAGCCTTCCCTCTCTTGTGGATTGAGCTTAATTCTAATTGATGAGCTAAATTTATATATATATATATATTAATGTGGGATTTCTACTTTGATATTATTGATATTTGAATGAGTTTTATAAAATTTTATTTGATTTTATATAATTTTCATTTTTTGTGTAGAAAATGACTTAATTGAAAGATATCATAACTTTTAAGAGCAAATTGCAAAGATCAAAAACATGAAGATTAACTTGCACGGAATCCAAAAGTTAGGGACCAGGACTACTATTTTGCCATTAAGAAAAATTGCGTTAAAGGCCAAAAACCTGACAAAGAGTTTTAAGTCCACGCTTGACCAAAAGCGTCAATACCATGTTGAGGGTGTTGACCCCTTATGCAATTTTCAGCAAATCCATGCCTGTATTTATTATTTTGGCATGAGTCTTACGTTAACTCCAGTGAGATTTTTTAAAATCTTATAAATACTCATCCAAGTTCAAAATTAGGAGAGTGTTGAAGGCTAGTGGCAACTCTCTTTTGAGCACCTTTGGAGATTAAGATAGTGGATTCATAAACAATAAGAGATCAATGATTTCAACTTCCTCAAATTGAGTTTTATACTTTCTTAGATTATTTTTATTTATTGTTTGATATCTTATATTGATAACTATGATTTCAAGCTTTGTTACTTTTATTATGAACTAATTTAGTCTATTAGGACTATGATGTAGTTTAATCAATTTAGTATAGATTGTGTGATTTTTACACTTATATTTAAAATTATTCGTATAATGAGTTTTTAGTGTTATACTTAATGCTTCAAAAGTTTGATCACTTTTTGATTGATTATGTGATTTGTCTATAAACTTGAGAAAGAATTGCATAAATTAGACCAATAACAATATTATTAATAAGTGTATTAGATTATAAAATCGAGGGATAATTAGTGTCACATGTGGTAGTGGAGGAAGAAAAGAGAGTTAGAGCTTCCCCTTCTTAAACTAGAGGTTTCCACATTACCTAATGCACGCTAATTTGTTTTATGACTAGTTTAACTAATAAATGAAAAATTAACTTAACTTGAGAAAACTAGTTAATTAATTGAAAAAAATCTGTCATCACATGCATTAACACTCAATAAATTGATTTTGGAAGCATATTAATCTATAATTTATGTTGATTGGTTATGGTGAAGCCGATACTTTAATACTTCATATTTTGGTTAGTTTTATTTTAGTTATTATTTTATTTTATTATTTTCAATTAAAGTTTCTTTCTTTTCAATTGTTCAAATAAATCTAGAATAATTATTTTTTATATTTAGTTAATCACAACTCTCATGTATTCAACGCTTTTCTTATCATTGTATTACTTGAAGTGAATAGTACACTTATTAGAGTGATTTAGCACATCAAGTTTTTAGCACCATTACTAGGGATTGCTGAATTTAATTAATATCAAAGTGGATTAATTCTAGATTTAATTTGAACATTTTCTGTTCTTTTCTTTTCTTTTCTTTTTTTACTTTGAATTTTTTTTTCCATTTCCTTTGTTTTTGTTTTCGTAGGCCTAATTATGGATCGAGTTGTCACAAATACTAATATGAATTATCAATGTCCTACTCCAGAATCAAAGGCATAAGTTGAAGCAATAACTATCAATTGGTAAGCAAAACTTGATGATAATGAACTTAAACGATTTTCAAGCAAACATTGAAACGTTCAAATTAAAAAGGCTATAATAAAACAATTTAATATCATTTGTCGATGGTGTGAATTAGAACATTTTAATTCTGGTTGCCAGTTTAAACCATCTAACAAACATGTTGATTTTTCTTGTGATTTTTGCAGCCAACAATGTAATTCTTATCCTAACATATGCAACTTTAATTGGATAAATTGTCCAAACTCCTCATGGAATAATGAAGATATATTGGAGCCACAATCAAGGTTTTAAGCTCAAGAAGAAGAGATATGTTTGGACAGAAATTTGGAAGTTCAATTGAATCATTCACTCAACTTAGTTGTGGAAGAAATACAAGGTGAGTTACCTAGTGCAACAATGAAAAATCAACAAGAAGAGGTAAACACTTTACATTTGGAGATTAAAGGACAACTGGGAGAAGTAGAAAGTATACCTGTAGAAACCAAACAAGCGAATGTCCCTAAGGAAGAAGAGGGAAAAGCTTAAGTGTCATCAAAAGTGTTCAATGAAGAGTCTCCATTAACCAAATCTATTTTTAATGATTATTTTGTTATTGATATAGTTTCTGAGATTTTGCAGGAAAACACTTTTGAGGATCCATTTGAGATTTATCGTATTCAAGTAAAGGACCCAATCAAAGAACACATAAATTGCCTGAACACATCATCATTTTACTTGGAATCAAAAGGGACAATCCTAGAAGAATTGTGGTAAGGCACACCTCTTGGCCTAAACCCAAACCACCTCAAAATACTCAATGGAGAAAATCTTATGGTGGATTCAACCTAAGGGAAAGAAAGCCAAGATACAAGAAAACGAAAAGACATATCCTATGACCTAATCCAAAACCATCTTAGAGTGGTAGAAAGTATAACTAATGATTATAAATTAAATGCTTCTTAGGAGGCAAACCAAGCATAATTCTTTTATCTTTCCTTTTATCTCTTTTTCTTTTATTCTAATAGTTTAGATTTTTTTCATTTTTTCTCTCTTTATAGTCCAAGTTAATGCATAAATGTGGGGAAATTCACATCTTATTAAGATCAAAGACACTTTAAATTAATCTTTGTGTGCCAAACCTAGTCATTGAACAAGTTCGAGGGACAAGATTATGGAAATTCACATACTAGAAATCTCTTCAAATGAAGGCAACTCAACTTCAGAACTTAAATTTTAAATCTTTAAGTGCAAAACTTGGGAGGTTTCTCTTTTCTCTTTACTTTTATTTTACATTGAGGACAATATTTGATTTAAGTTTCAGGGAGAATATAACTTTTAGGTGTCCATTCTTACATTCATTTGCATTTATATTTGCATAACATACATTTTCTTTTTTATAAATTAGGTTTTTTTTTTTTTAAGAGTTGGTCCAATTAGTGTCAAGGAATTGAATATTCTTGAATTAGAAATATAAAAACTTTTAAAACCTTTGAATCTTAGAGGAGATCTAAAAAATAACACTATTTTAATTAAGTTTAAGTTCATGAGTATTGATGAGAATCCCTGTAATACCCCAAAATTTTGTGATATTTTAGCATTAAGTTAAGGATCTTTGTGTGAGAAAATAGTGTTTTGTGGCTTAATGATCAAAATGTCCAAATTTGAGGGACTTAAAAAGAAAGGAAATTAGGATAAGGATGGCTGAGTTGTTCTTTCTTTTTCTTCTTCCTTATCCGCGTGACCTGCTCTTCTTCTTCTCCTCTGCTGACCGAAGCCCCCCAAGCCACCGACTTTCTTCCCCCTTGAAAAACCCGGTGAGATCTTGATGAATTCCTCTTCCTTTCTTGTTAAATCATAAGATTTGGGGCTTAGAATCTTCCCTCTCAACCCAGAAAATCCCGGATCTGCTTTGCTCTTCTCCCCTGTCCGCCGACTGCTATGTGGGTTTGAATTTCTGGGCATTTTTCGGGTAAGAAACAGCCATGAATCTCCCTTCTCCAACTTTGATTGCCTTGGGTTTATGTTAATTGCTCTTGGTTCCTTCAATTTTTTTGGGTAGCCCGTGAGCTTTCTTTTTCCATGCCGCCGGCCTTCCCCAATCTACAGCTCTGGTTTTAGCTGGAGAATTATGGTATGTGACAGTCGTTTAAGCTTGAAATTATCCATATAGTTTGCTGGCTGTGTTGTCCGAATTTGATAGAAAATTTGGGGATAATTCC